TGGAGTGTGGAAAGACCTTTGTTCAAAAATGTAATCTTATTTCCCATGAGACGATCCACACAGGGGAGAAGCCGTATAAATGCATGGAGTGTGGAAAGACCTTTGCTCAAAAAGGATATCTTATTTCTCATGAAAGAAGCCACACAGGGGAGAAACCATATAAATGCATGGAGTGCGGAAGGTCGTTTGGTCAAAGAGGTCACCTTATTTCTCATAAGATGATCCACACAGGGGAGAAGCCCTATAAATGCATAGTGTGTGGAAAGACCTTTGCTCAAAAAAGTTATCTTATTTCTCATAAAAGAAGCCACACAGGGGAGAAGCCGTATAAATGTATGGAGTGTAGAAAGACGTTTACTCGAAGCAGTGATCTTAGAAGACACAAAAAGATCCACTCAGGAGAGAAACCATATAAATGCATGGAATGTGGATAGACCTTTGTTCAAAAATGTAATCTTATTTCCCATAAAATCATCCACACAGGGGAGAAGTTGTATAAATGCATAGAGTGTGGAAAGACCTTTGTTCACAGTAGTGGCCTTAGCGGCCACAAAAAGATCCACTCAGGAGAGAAACCATATAAATGCTTGGAGTGTGGAAAGACCTTCATTCAAAAATGTAATCTTATTTCCCATGAGACGATCCGCACAGGGGAGAAGCCGTATAAATGCATGGAGTGTGGGAAGACCTTTGCTCAAAAAGGATATCTTATTTCTCATAAAAGAAGCCACACGGGAGAAACCATATAAATGCATGGAGTGCGGAAGGTCGTTTGGTCAAAGCGGTCATCTTATTTCTCATAAGATGATCCACACAGGGGAGAAGCCCTATAAATGCATAGTGTGTGGAAAGACCTTTGCTCAAAAAAGTTATCTTATTTCTCATAAAAGAAGCCACACGGGAGAAGCCGTATAAATGTATGGAGTGTAGAAAGATGTTTACTCGAAGCAGTGATCTTAGAAGCCACAAAAAGATCCACTCAATAGCAAAGCCATTTAAATGCATGGTATGTGGAGATAGTTTTATTCACAATGGTCATCTTCTCATAAAAGGTTCCACGCTTCGGAGAAACCATATAGCAATAGCAATTCCACTTAGACTTATATACCACTCCACAATGCTTTACCACACTCTGAGCAATTTAAAAAGTCAGCATATGGTCCCCGGCAATCTGGGTCCTAATTTTAGGGACAGCAGAAGGATGAAAGACTCAATCAACCATGAGCCGGTCAGGATCGAACTCCTGGTTATGGAGAATTAGCCTGTAGTGCTGCATTTTAACCACTGACCTTTATAGGTCTCTATAGATTTGTATGAGTATGATCCAAATGAGACAAGGTTGAATCCAAGAAATTGAAACTTAATGTGGAGAAAAGTAAGATTTTACACTTGGGCAGGAAAAACCAATTACAGGAAACCTGGCTCAAAAACCGTAACAGTGAGAGGGACCTTGGGAGTCTGAATGGATGGTCACTTAAACATGAGTCACGTGTGTGCGCAGCAGCCAAAAAAGCTAATATAATCCTCAATTGTATAGAAGCATAGAATCAAAATCACGTGAAGTATTAGTACTGTTTTATAAAGCCTTAGTAAGTTTTTCTCATCCTTTCTATTAGCCATCTCTCATGACTATTATCATGTTGCTTATATCTTTACAATTTATATTGTTTTATTTGTTCCCTAGTATGCTTATTAGTATCCTATGACTGTCACTAAGTGTTATCTTGTAATTCCTGATGAATGTATTTTTTTTTTTTTATGTACACTGAGAGCTTATGCTCCAAAGACAATTTCCTTGTGTGTTCAATCACACTTGGCCAATAAAGAATTTTATCCTATCCTAGTGCAACAGGAAAGATTATCTGGAGCTTAGTTCAACTCTGGGGTCCTTGGGGGCTTCTGAGCTTGGTTGTTTCCTTGGAGACATTGAATTGCCCAACTAGGTAACTGGGTCAGATAAATTCCCTCCATTCCTGAATTTTGGATGCCCAGCAGAAGGTGGAACGTGTGCTCCCCTCCCCCACAAGAGGGAACTGCCATTTTCTGGGGTTTCAGAGGGGAGGAAGGAGAAACTATGTGTACCAGGTGGATGTCATGAACCAAAAAGAATCCAGTTGATCACAATTGGCAGTAGAGGGAGAAGGTGAGGGAAATGGACAAACCTTGGAGTCAGCTGAGGAAGATGGGATTTGTAGCCCTGGGGCAGGTATTTGAAAGAGGATGTAGTCCACAGAAGATAATATCTGGAGGTTGGGTTAAACTCTGGGGTTGTTGGAGCCCTCGGTGCTTGGTTCGCTTGGAGATGTTTCATTACCCAGCTAGGGAACATCCTCAGTGCAAAGTAGAGGGGGGATTGGCTGCCTGTTTAGATGCCCGGCCAGAGATTGTTGGGTTCCCTCCTGGATGGTCCCTTGATTGGAGAATGGTTTTCTGCCTGTTTGTGTGGTGCTGATCCCTGCTTATCTATTGGCTGTTGGAGGGGAGGTGTGTCTTTTTCATCTCTTTTCTAGGTTTTTTAGAATTGTGTAAATGTAATTTATCTCTCTCTGTCTATTGAAAACCAGAGATTGACCTTTTAGGATTACTGGATAAGGAACTTGAAATAAAAAATTGGAACTTTATTAGTGTACAAGCTGACTGCAGCCAGAATTCTTGATGTACAAAACTGGAAATATACCTTCATCCCCAAGATTGAAGGTGGTGGACGGAAGAAATGAGGGAGTGGGCTGAGAGGGTGAGATGAACTGTTTGGACCAGAGAAAAGAAAAGATCCAGCTGTGTTTCTACCTGGAAACAACTTCTGGACTTTGTGCTTGAGGCAGAAGGAAGGGAAATCTCTATTAGGATTGCTTGTCATGGAAATGTACCAAATTCATTTCCTTCCTAGGTTTTTCTTTATTGTGCAAATGTGATTTATCTCTCTGCATCTATTGGAAACCAGAGATTGACCTTTTAGGATTACTGGATAAAGAACTTGAAATAAAAATTACTGTACAAGCTGAGTGCAGCCAGAATTCTTGATATGCAAAACTGGAAATATACCTCCATCCCCAAAATTGAAGGTGGATGGATGGAAGAAATGAGGGAGTGGGCTGAGAGGACAAGATGAACTGTTTGGACCAGAGAAAATAAAAGATCCAGCTGTGTTTCTACCTGGAAACCACTTCTGGACTTTGTGCTTGAGGCAAAAGGAAGGAAAACCTTCCCTATAAGATTTGCTGATTAGGATTGCTTGTTATAGAAATGTACCAAATTTACTAAGAATGAACAGTAGAAGGAAGAATTGAGGCTGAAATTTCATTTTGTATTCTGCTTCCTTGAAAATAGTTTTTCCCTTTCCCTTTTTCCCCTCATCCTACACTTCCCTTTCCCATTTCCCAACTTACTTTAATTTCATTCCATGAGAATCTTCATAAAAAATAACTAAAAGGAGCCTTTGTTTCCTGTTCCACAGCCAAAATAGCCAAATTCCTGGGGGGAAAAGCTCATCCGGGTTCCACAATATATCTGCACTTTTCTACTGGTCAAATTTCTTCCAAAACGTTACTTGATGTTTTTCTCTGCTGAAAGAGAGGAAAAAGCTGGCAATGAAGGCAAAGAGGTGGAAATTCTCCGAGGAAAGGAGCGGGAAGCAAAGGAAAAACAGCCCAACTAGATTCCGGGATTTTCCTTTGGGGGGGGGCTGGGTGTGCGAGGAAAAGGGGGACCTGGATTCCTGACCCACAGAAAGTGGGAGGGTCCTGGACATGATGGGTCGAGGAGGGGGAATCGGAAGGAACCGGTTCGTTCAGACGTTTAGAGCAAGAGAGACACATTTTTCAAGGAGGGAAAACGCGTTTTTCTCCTGTGAAGCAAAGCAGCGCCTTTCCCAGAGGATTTCCCAGGAATGTGGGAATCTGGGGGCAAGGATCCATCTGGGCTAGGAAGGATCCCTGCAGATCTTCTCCGCCTCTTCCTGGCTTAGTTGAGGATTCCCTTCGGATTGGGGTGTGTCTGTGACCCCCAAGTCTTCCTTGCTATGGGCTGCCCCTCCCCCCCTTTTCATCCAGTGCAGAAACTCTTCCCATGGCAGGAATCTCCACATACAAAGTGAAGGGGCGGAGGAAGGGGGTGTCCCGGCCAGATGCTTCCAGCCCCAGAGGAGGAATTGGGGCTCTGAATTGAGGGGGGGGGGAGCCTTTTTTTCCCCTGTCTTTGGAGTTGGGTGGGGCCAGAACTAGCAGCAGCACCAATGGGAATTCTCCCTGCTTGAGAGTCATCGGTCTCCAGGCAGAGTCCTTTGTGACTTCAGTGGAAGGAGGAGGGAGAGTTCCGTGGGGAGCAGAGAAAGTGGGAGGGGGGAGTCCTTTAGTCTTGGGAGGGGTGCAATTCAAGAGGGGGCTGATGCCAGCCCCAGAAGGGATCCTCCACTTTCTTTGCTCCCTTCACGATTCTCTGCCAGGGATTCTAGCTTTTCCTCCTTATCTCCCCACCCCCATTGAGATCAACAACATCCCTTCTTGAACCAAAAACCGATCTGCCATTAGCGGTGGGTCAGAAAACCCCACAGCGCTGGGAGGCCTTAGATGTGCCGCTACAACAGGAGGATGCTCTGGAAGGATGGTGAGAGTCAGCAGTAGAGAATTGGTGGCGAGAAACTGGAACCTGCTTGAGATCTAGCTGGTTTGGGGTGGAGGAAGGAGGCTTTTTTAGAATGGTGGGAGGAGGCTGCTTGTGATTGAAGACCTATTTTGGATGTGGCCCTCTCCCCTGACATTTCTTCCAGCTTTAGGGCTTTGTTGATTGCAGCTTGGAGGGCATTTTTGCCTTCCCTAACGTATCATTTGCGTTCCTTGTGTACTTCCTCGAAGCATTGAATGTGTTCTTCGAGGTTTGGATCACCCAGCCTTGACTGGATGGTCTTGAGTTGACTTTCGCTGTCTCTCCACTTTGGGAGAAAGTCCTGTAGGTCTTCCTGCAATGTGCGGAGTCTCCCAAGGGACAGCCTACATTTGGGAGTTTCGCAGATATTCTCCAGTTCTGTCCATGATTCTACATAATGACGATACTGCTTGTCCTACTTCCCACTCAATAAGGAGTCCATGGGTGTGGTAGGCTTCCTATGTTGTCTGAGGTCATAGGCTTTCTGAGGTATCGCCATGTCTGCAGAGGTTTGGACGTCTAAAACTAGTTTTTGGGAACTGGGCTCCATGTTTACATCTAGGGTGGGTGGAGGGTTCGAATCTTCTGGTACTTCAGGGACATCTGTCATGGCTGAAGAAGTTGCCATGGTTCAGAAAGTTGAAGTTTCTGCTAAATTTAGTACTTGAGCACGTAGGTGGCGCTGCACAATATGGCTGCTTTTAGGGTGCGTTGCGTGCTTGCTACACAAGTAGGCGTATAGTAGGCGTTGTTGAGTCTGAAGACGTGAGAGCAAAACACAGGGTTGCCTTTTAGTGTTGCTTGCTACACAAATTGGCACAATAGGAGGCATTGTTGCTGAGTCTGAAGACGTGAGAACAAAACGCAGGTTTGCCTGTTAGTGTTGCTTGCTAGGTCTGGAAGACACTGTTGCTAAGCACAGGTTAGGCTGCAGGTAGTACTGGAACCTTGCAGTAAGTTGTTTAATGTTGCCACAATAATTTTAAAAAGGTATTTTCATTGGTTAAGCACTGGTTAAATTTGGGAAACTTCTTATAGTTTTAATAAAAATTTGTAAACAAGTTCTTATAAAAATTTGCAGACAAGTCTTTGAATTCTCTGGGAAATTTCTCCTAGACCACCAGATGGTGCTGTGGGCTGCTTTGCTTAAGTCTGTAGGGGTCGCTGGAAGAGAAATTCATCAAAAGAATACAGCACTCCAAAGGTTGTATGCAGAGTTATACTTTTAATTTTTTTAGTCAAGATGGATAAACTCTAGGCCTTTAATCAAAAAATAAATTGCTCTTTTGTTCATATTGCTGCTTGAATTAGCTTTGCATCTTGAGAAGGGGTGGTGGTGGAATGGGCTCCTTTGCTTTGAAGACAGTAATGAATTAAGACCCCCAATAAAACGGCCAGAGAAAAACAGGGCCCCTCTTAATTGCCTTTTCAAAGCAGGCCAGAGCTTAAAAAACTGCTGAGCTTTTCAGTTTGAATGAGCAGAGCAGATTTAGCTTTTCTTTTAAAACACAAGAAGAGATTACTTTTGACTCTTCATCTGCATTTGAAAGGAGTTTGTAGGTAGTAACTGAGGGAAGACATGGGTACATGGGTCATACCTGGCTACTCCCATTGTTTGCCCAATTAGTTCCTTTTAAGTTAGCAGAGATGTAACCTGAGACAGAGAAGCTTCTCTTGATGAACAGAGGGGAGGGGGGATTTGCCCCTTCCTGCATCCACGATGAGGTTTGAGGCAGAGGTACAACGGAATAGCATGCACATTTACTTTTGGCTTCAAAAAATCTTTGTCTCTATCACAAAATTCAAATTACTTTTGCTTCACTCTACTTCTTCCAGGAATCAAGATTTATTACCGTGTTTCTCATAAAATAAGGCCGGGCCTTATTTTTTTTTTGAGCCCCCAAAAAACAGCTAGGCCGTCTTTTCGGAGATGACTTAATTCCCCTCCCCTTTCATCCTCACCTAGAGCGCCCCACGGGCAGCCTCACCACGAGCTGCTCCTAACGGGTGATCATGGTGAAGCACAGAGAGCTCCCTACTCCCACCAAACACCTTTGCCACTGTTGCTTTCCCTTCTGCCCATTCCACCACCACTTGGAGCTGCCGCTTCCGTGTTTGGAGTGCCGCTGTCATTTGAAGCGCCGCCACCATGTGGAGCACCACCATGTTTGGAGCTGCTGCTTCTGTGTTTGGAGTTGCCACCGTGTTTGGAGCGCCGCTGCCATTTGGAGCACCGCCCCCATGTTTGGAGCTGCCACTTCCATGTTTGGAGCTGCCGCCGTGTTTGGAGTGTCGCCGCCATTTGGAGCACCGCCCCCA